AAGTTGCAAATGCAAGACGCCTCAAAGCAAATGATTTTTCAGAGTTGTTCCTCCTTGCATTTTGGTTTGATAATCCCTCGGGAGTAACTTTGGTGGTGCGGAATCCTGCTGGAAATGTCCCCCCCCCCCAGAAAATTGGCTGCAGTGATCTGCCCCACATTGCTTCAACTCTACAGCATTACAATCAATCAAAACTACGCGATGCAATATCAAATTAAAATCATGCGACAAAACTTGTGACATTTTAGAACAAAAGCATTAAAGTTTGTGTTTGTTGTGACTGCTTATCAGTAACCCAGGTACTGTACATTTTAAAACTGCGTTCTTTGAGGCACGAAAATATATGCCTTATGTGATACAGACCCTAGTTCTTATCCCCGTGCTTTAATACAATAACTGAAGTTAAGTTTGGAACCTCCAGAACACGTACTGCGTTACAAATAAGTACGTGACCGCAACATTGAATTTTACGTTATTCAACTCAGTATTTAAATACAAGCCACCTAACCTCTGAAAATCACTTAAATAGATAAATTATACACATTAAACCCAAAAAATGAGCATACAAAAAAACAGAAGTACGTCAGGCACCCCCAACCCAAAAAGCCATCATTTGTTTCTTAATAATTTACCTGAGGAATTGGGTGAATGCTGAGAACCTCTTGAGGCTGACCTTGGGCCCCCAGACCCCGGGGGACTCCCCCCAGCACTTCGAGGTGAACCAGGGGGCAGGTTATCAGCTACGGACATGAGGGCCGCCATGGGCGACTGCCCATTGCTACCCTGCTGTTGTTGTTGTTGTTGTTGTTGTTGCTGTTGTTGTTGTTGCTGCTGTTGTTGAGAAGGGGCCTGCGAGTTCGACTGCTGTGACTCCGGGGGAGACCCGGTTCGGGGGCCCAGAGGGGAACCTGCTCCCCCATTACTCACGCCCAGAGGTACTGCGGGGTAACCTGCACACATGCAACACAAGATTCGTACGGTAACCAGGCATCCCGTGCAGCGCTCAAGCTGACTGTAGCAATCAACAGGTCAGACTAAAAATATACAGAAAATAACAAATAAAGACAGAGGCAATACAGAAATAAAAAAAAGAAGGGATAGACAGAGAAAAAGAAATTTCATTATCCAATTACTGTACCATGAGAAGCTTGAGACTCAACTATTCATTATTGGTACTTTTGGGTTATCGGGACACAAAACGGAGGAGTCGAATGTCTGGACTTGGATTGGCACGGAAAACTGCGCATGCGTATTAGTATACCCGTATACTCGGTTGTTATCTGTTAGTTCGTTCAGTTATTTATTGCTGTTCGGTACCATGTTAAAGATTTGGGAAGATTTGTCATTTATTGAAATAAAATATAATAACTTTCAAGTATATATCATTTATCCACACACATTAACCTAACCTAACCTATCCTAACCTAAGCTAAGCTAACTCAACCTATCCTAACCTAACTCAACCTATCCTATCCTAACCTAACCTAACCTAACTCAACCTATCCTAACCTAACTGAACCTATCCTAACCTAACTGAACCTATCCTAACCTAACCAAACCAAACCCAACGTACAACGCTACCTAATACAATGTAACTTATCCCAATCAAACTTAAACGAATCTAAAATAACAGACCCGCATAGGATCAAACCCACCACAGCTTAAGGAATTCCAAATAACCTTTCAGGACTTCTCCAGGATTTCTTCAGCACTTCTCTATGACCAAAGAAACTCCGCATTACCTCTCCAGGACATTTCCGGCACTACTAAAGGACTTATCCAGGATTTATCCAGGACTTTTCCAGGAATTCTCCCGGACTTCTCTACAGGGCTGTGGAGTCGGATGCAATTTTAGGTGGAGTCGGAGTCAATAAAGATGTACCGACTCCGACCTCGATGTAAAATCTTAAAAACGTCAAAGACCTTCTTCAGTGCTCAACACTTCTGTGGACGTCATCGTATATAATCAAACTATTCATGTACAATATTGGATAAAAATATTTTTGCCATTTTCGATGTTTTTGGCTTTCTAAATTGCACGTAACATCAGAGACCAAGAGGTGGGATAAGAAACCTTCCTCAGCATCCCGATAGTTTTCATAAAAGAAAGCTCTTTACAAGATGTGACAGTTGGCACGTTACTGAATTTTACGCAAATATATTTAACAATACTGTATCTTTCACTGAGGTTACAACCACCACATTAAAGACAGTATTGATGACGTCAACTACATAGAGACTCAGCCATCAGGAACCATAAGATTAAAGCTAAAATTTCGGCGCATTAGAACTGCACTGAGTATAGGATTCTCAGATTAAAAACACGATTTCCTTCAAACATTAACCAATTTACTCTTGTAACTGAGAAGTTTAATTTTCTTCGAGGTAAGAACTGAAATTTATAATTAAAATTTAAAATAGTTTCTGGCTACAAAAGGTTAATACAGGAATTGAACTTTACGAAAAATATTGACGAACTATTGAACTAATCTGTACATGACCAAAACGTTTTACGTGATAAGATGTAACTACTTAGTAAAGCGCCTGTCTCGACGTGCACGTGAAAAACTACTCTAATCTTTTCAACTACTAAAGCCTTTGGTCCACATGCAAACAAGATTCTGGCTGCTTGCGTCATGCTAATATACAAATATGTATATTTGTGAACAGCATTTAGATTAAGTACGCATGCATATAGTCTGAAACTATGCCAACGAAAAATTGTACAATACAATAAAGTGGCTTTAAAAATAAAGAAAAAATCTTAAAACATTTACATTCACCAAGCTCTCTACGATAAGTTACGAAGTGGCATTTTGATTGGTAACAGGGATACTGCAGTTCAACATAAGTATTTTTTCGGCACGTCCAACCAATCAGGTAACTTGAAGTGTAAAAATTATGATTAAGCTTTAGATACGAACAAAAAAAAATATTACAACACCAACAAAGTTTATTAAGTATTAAAGAAGTTGTTCATATTTCTTTACATTTCATCTGACAGCAGGCAGAACTCTGGGACAATTTTTAATAGTTTATTTTCGCGTACACACTTCGACAAAAAAAGAGTTCCTTTGAGGAATGTACAGACGGCACTTCCATCTACTGCAGAGGCAAATAAAGAATTACTAAGAATGTACGTATATTTGCCTGTACAACCTCTTTACATTACATTTCTGTATTTATATTACACAATTCAAAATTTAAGCATTCATACGTTAAATAAAGCCTACTGTTGACTCACATGACAACTGAATTTTGAATTCCTCACTCGTGTTTTAGTTAGCTTTTATCTGTTAGACAGTTGGTAGGACTCCTTGGACGAGGGATCGGCCTCTACCTGTACACAGGACAGCACGACACAGAAAAACGCGGACAAAAACATCCATGGCTTGAGTAGGATTCGAACCCACGGTCCCAGCGACCAAGCTACGCGGCCACTGTGATGTCAATTCTATACGCAACGGTTATTTACTGCAAGCCAATCATATAGACGTATATTAAGGCTTTGACCGGGATGTTCTTTTGTTAAATCTTATGTGGTACCGCCTGATTCGACTTCTAATGGTTAAGTGAAGTGTTTTCTTCGCGGTACGGTCTGGATTCGTAAATATTATGAAGACGAGCTTCGGCTTCAAAGGGTTAACCAGCTGATTTTCGTAATGGTGAGGTGAAGTGTTTTCTTCGCGGTACGGTCTGGATTCGTAAACATTATGAAGACGAGCTTCGGCTTCAAAGGGTTAAAAAGCAAGGAAATACACGAGGTAATATGCCCCCACCAAGTGAACAGAAATTAGCCAGTCCCTCCAAGGTCTTTCAGGCCATCAGGGGGCCCGAACATGATCCTGAAACATCTACCCAAGCGCGCGATAACCTTCCTCACAAAGTCTTCCGGTACTAGACACCGGAACGGAACCAGATTCACGTGGTAATGAAACCCTACAGGACTAGAAGACATCGCTGGAAACTTGGGTCCTCCTGAATGTAAACGAGGGCGGATTGCTGAGCGACGAGCAGCTTGAGTTTCGACCCAGACAGCACGACACTGCAGCTGCTCAGCCCTGTTGAATGATTCGATTGAAGAGGCTTAAGTCTTCGACGCCGCGTTGGTCAAAGGCCTCCCGTTAGTATTTTTCCCACCCCTGTACAATTTCCATTTCGGAGTTTTCCATTGCAACTTAATCGATCACTCTGTTAAGTCCGAACTTGAAAATGTGACTTAAATTAGCACAGGTACTAATAAAGGCAGCCTTAAGCTGACTTCTCACGCCTTCCTGATAAGGTAACGTCGATCACGAGACATCATAAATAAGTTCATTTAATGCGAGAATCAACACTTTGATCTCCTATCTATAAATCTTACGATAAAATGAAAATCATTTTCATGCACAGAATGTTACACTCATTCCGGAGGGTTTGCAGTTGAATGGGACACATCAACTATTGGCATTTGCTGATGATTAATTTGTTGGGGGACGACGTAAATACAATAAAGAGGAACGCAGAAGTTTTACTAGAGGCTGGTAGACAGGCGGGGCTCGAAGTAAGTACATGTTAGTATCTCGTCGTCAAAATAGTCGAGATACCTATTCTGCTGGGTTCCGTAAACCGAGAAGTAAGACCCCATCCTTCGAAATGTAGTGATTTATTAAGGTTTCGCTACGTATTAAAATATTTAAAATATACGATGGATGAAAGCCAAGTCACAATCCTATTTCTTAGTTCTTAAACTGTCATGGACAACGTTCGATGGCCTTTTCCGATTTATAACTAATTCTGAAAGTGTGAGTCTTTTAAAGACATGGTAGATTCGAACCAGCTAGCGGTCAAGACCGCAATGGCCTAATTTCCTGGTTAAAATTACGAAAGAAAACCATAACGTGTTAATATGCTTTATTGAACATTATTTCGAAATTCTCATGATTTTTAGACGTAATATCAATTTCCCTAAGGGCACTCTCTGGCTACACGGACTTTGTTATAACCACAAATATTCCCACGTATCTAACTAATCTTATTCTCATTTACGTCTAGCTTTTTTACATCTCTAATATTCCTTAATTCTACAGCATTAATATAATTTATCATTCTCTTATAAGCTACTAATAAGCCATTTAACGCTCAATTGTTTCCCCTCTACTCCGTCTTGATCTCAAATCAGATTTCACCGACACGCCAACTTCACCTACACCGAAGTTAACGCAGAACACAAATGTGATATAACTTCCCATTCCGGAGGTAAACTTCATGTGCCACAGGGAAAAGTGTTTCCCCCTACACATTTGTTTCCATGAATCGATAAACATCTGAAGAGTCCAAGGCCAATTGCCATCCTGTCTCGAGGGGAGGATTGTGAGCCCCAAGATATAAAACTCTACAGAGAACTTGATTATCCCAGTCACAGCAGACACGGATGGATTCCGATCATTATTCGTGCACGACGATATCGTGGATTTCGTGACGTGACCATCCCACCGAGCAACATAAAGAAATCAAGTCACGAATGTATGAAATATATAATGCAATTCATGCTACTAACTGGCTGGATTCCAAGGTCAATATATATATATATATATATATGACACTAGCTAGTGTTCGATGACGATGGCTGTCAACAGAACAGCTGACGACGACAGTGAGCTCCTCTGAAACGTCGGTCGATACCTACCATAAAACGCGGTGCAACATTCGAGAAGAATCTTCAAGGTTAATATCGATCGATTCATCAAGATTTCACTGCCAACTGAGACACGAACAAAGAGTTTTCAAGATCAACAGCACAACGTGGAATTCATACAAATTAGTACGTTCTGCTTTATTAATAAATATGAAGTCATGTTGCGGTTTGTTCCGAGCAGTGAGGTGAGATCAAGATCATTTTACTGAGAATGTCAATATGTTGTTGCAAAGCACATACAGATATTCAACTATGCAGATATAAAAATTAAGC